AAGAGCTGGAGGCTGACCAACCCTGCAACCACCTAGGCCCAGAACCAGGGTTATGGGTTGGCCCACCCCAATAGCCACCCCATCTGTGATCTGCTAGAGCACATAAAGGGGCTTGTCCTACAGACGCAAAGCTGCAGGATCACCTGACACAGGGCAACAACAGGATATCCCAGAGCAGTTCCAGTGAAGGCCCAGCATTGATATTGTAGCAGAAACAAGTCCTTAAACCAGACTAACGACTCTGCAATGAACATGTTCAAGTAAAGATGTATGGATCAAAGGGTTCACTTAGGGACTCACTGTCACACTTCACACTACCGCCCACAGCTTCCATGATGAGATTTTTCCTTTTTTTCCTATTTTCTTTCTTTTGTTTCTCTTAAACTTTATTTTATTTGGGGGTGGGAGGTTGCAAGGACAGAGGGCAGATATGAAGAGATGAGGAAATGAATGGGATGGAGATGCGTGATGTGAAAGACACAAAGAATAAATAAAAAGAAAGTTTTTTTCTTTTTTATTAAAGCACACTTGTAGAGGTGCAGAGATGGTTTAGTGGTTAAAAGAAAGTACTGCTCTTCCTGGGGACCCAAGTTTGGTTCATTATATGTGTGTACATGATAGCACATACTCAGGAGGCTCACGCCTGCCTGGAATTCTAGCGCCAGGGGCATCCAGCACCTCTGGACTCCATGGGCACCACACTCATATGTACAGACATGCACATGCACGTAATTAAAAATAAAATAAATACCTAAAAATTCACTTGGAACTTGGAAAGGTTACAACTAGGAAAGTTAAGCAAAGACTAAGAAGGGCCTAGGTGGAGGAGACCAAATGGACAAATGCTAGGCTGGATTTTGAAGTGGGCTCCTTTCATTATTGGGATAGTTAGTGAAATGGTGATGTCTGAGGACCAAGTGGCAGCGATGAATCACTACTGATTTCCTATGTATGATTTTGAAGGATGTTTATCTGTGTCGGAAATGCATAAACTAATTGGTAGTGATGAAGCATCATTTTGGCTGTGGTTCAGGAAAAAATGATTCTTTGTATATACTTTAAATTCTTTACAAATTTACTATGAGACAGGATTGTATTGATCTTACCTTCTGAACCCTCTTGATGTCATCTTTTTAAAAAGGTGATTTCGAGAGAGAATCTCATGTTGTAGCTTTCACTATATAGCCCAGGCTGTCCTTGAACTCACGGCTAGCTGTCTGCCTCTGCCTCCCAAGTCCTGGGGTTGTAGGTGTGTGTTACCAGGCCCAGTTTTCCTTTGAATTTCTTTGGCTTCAGCTGCATTGGCTAGCCTGCCTGTAAGATCACTACATTCATGAGGACTCCTCCTAATTACCCCAGTCTTTTACTGTGTACCAATTTTTAATGCTTTTCCCTTGGCCTTTCTCTTCTTTGTCCTTTAATAATTTCTTCTAGTACTTTCATTTCCAGACTTTTGGCTTTGCATCTTTATCCTGTTTTATCTTCTGATTTTTACAAGTCTACATTTTATCCAAACTTAGCTTTCTTAAGAACAGATGATCCTCAGTTACAGTGAGTTTATGCCCTGTTAAATCCATTTTAGGTTTAAAGTGATAAGTGAAAAAGTGCAGTCATGGTATTGAGACTATGGCTCAGTGGTAGAGTGCTTAATAGCGCATATAAATAAGGTCCTTAGGCCCATCCCGAATGCAGGAAGAGAAAGATGTACTTAATACACCTAACCTCTGGGCGTCCTCGCTTAGCCACACAGCACACTGTAGAATATTGCTCATGAAGCCGTGGCTGACTGGGAGCAATGGCTCTACAGCTGACCAGCTCATCAAGAAGTTGCTACATCATATGTCACTAGTTCAGGGATCAGTCAAAGGTTCAATTCAGAGTAGGATTCTTAATGAGTGTGTGCTGCCTCCCTACTGTTACAACGTCAAAATACTGTAACACAGACCATCTTAGGTCCAGATGGTCCATACTGCTTTCTCCATCAATTGAGGACCTGTCGTGCAACTCAGCTTTGGTTAACTCTCAAAGCTTAATAATGTATGTTCACATTTTGTGGAAAGTGGAGTATAACTTCAGTATTTCTAGAAATAACAAATGCAAGAAGGCGTTATGATAGAAAAGTGCAGAATCGTTGTCGCCTCCATTGACTCAGGAACAGGCATATAAACCTGTTCTCCGAAGAAAATGTAAGTCTTGTTACAATAGAAAGTTGCATTGTATGAAGTAAATTCTATTTTGATATGCAATTCCATGGGGATATCAGCCAGCAACATGGGGAATATTATCTTGTTTTCCAAATTTGTGTTGAGGGTGGAATATGTACAGTTTCAGAGGTTATGAAAAAAGTTTGAACTATGTGTATGAAAAAATGGTCTTCATTTTAAAATTGCCTTGGTTCTGACATGAACTAGATACCAGAATATCCTCAGTTGGCCTATTTAACTTTGAACAGAACTCGGTGATTCTTAAGAGATTGATCAGTAAGAATAGAGATGGCAAGGGTTTACTGCTGGGATGTAGCTCAGTGGTAGGGAGTTTGCACAGTGCACATAAGGCTCTGGTTTAATCCCCAGAGCAGCAAGTTTCCCATTGCAATTGTATTCATTGTAAAATGCAGATAAACACATTTCTTATCTAAACTTTAATTATATAATTTCCCTCCCTCCCTGTCTCTCTCCTTCCCTCCCCCCCTCCTTCCCTCCCTTTAAGAATAATGTTTCATACTCAAATTGTATGCCAGGCTGTATGAGTTACTGATGTGCAGAAATCCTTTTGGATATTTCAGTAGATTTCTAATCATGGGAACATTCCAAGAAGGATTACAAATTACTCCCCAAATGCTTGGCTTTGGTTGGACATTACAGATCTTTGACTTACTGATCTCTTCCTAGAGGAAACATTTATGCTGTAAATGAGTGTTTGCATAGTGCAATAGATCTTGGGTGGTCAAGCGGCTCTTCCATAGTAGCTGAACCCAGATCTGCACATCATAAATCTTGACATTTAATTGGTGCTTTTAGTATCAGTCTTAGTTCTTTATTTTAAGTGATTCTGTTTCATAAGAACATTACTATTTGAAAATCTTGGCCAACATCCAGTCTCTGAAGAAATATAATTTAATGGTATATTGCCAAGAGCATCTTATACAATTTAATATAAATTTTTTACTTAGGCCCAAATATCTCATTTTAATTTTCCAGTTCTTTATTGATACCCTTTCTCCGGATTGCATTGGGTCAGTCAGAGCTAAAAATTCATGTATCTTATTAGGAGCTTCTTACAGTTTAGGGACACAGCTACTTCACATGTGACAATAAGAAAACCAGGAAGGGATGTAATTTGGTATAAACTTAATTAAGTTTTTTATTCTTTGAAAATGTCATACACATGTATAATGTATTTTAATGAATATTTCTTTATACAATTATGAAAACTCTTCCTATAGAATTTACTGTTATAGTTTTGGTTACTTAATAAATCAGTCTAGTATATGTCTGGATTTGTTTCCTGTTTTCTGTGATTTCAAACATTTGGTCATGCTGTTGGTAAAGTGTTTGCTGTGTAAGCATTAGGGCCTGAGTTTGAGCCTTAGCATCCACCTAAAAGACCAGGCATGGTGGCATGTGCTTGTGATCCTAGTAATGGTGGGACAGCTAGGTTCATTGGCCAACCAAGCTATTCTGTTTTGTAGGTTGGTAAGAGAGACTGTCTTCAAAAAAAAAAAAAAAAAAAAAAAAAAAGAGGTACCTAGTACATAAAGCATGGTACCTGAGGTTGTCTCCTGGCTTCCACATGCACACCTAAATATGTGTGTACCTGTACATATATAACAATGTATGCATATACACCCACATGTATGCACATGTGCTTACACACAAAACCTTTACACATTCATTCAAAAGTAAACAATAACATAAGAGTCAAGAAGACGGTGGTACTTAGAGGGGAAGAGGTGTGTGTGTGTGCAAACAGATGACTTCTAGATAGTTGGCAAGATTCTCATTGTATGAACAGATGCTGCCTATTTTAATGTGTGAAGCTGCTTGTCAAAGGGTCACAGGCAATGCAGTGAGGTGGACGTTTTTCAGGCTCCAGTTAGGTAGAAACAGCAATCAGATCATCAGGTGAGAACAAGTGTGCAGCCTTAGTCTCTTCAGCCCTCTCTCATGCATCTTCTCATCCTCCCACTATGGGAAGAAAAGGTGGAGTACACACTGGCATGCCTGTGTGGTTTTGTCATTCTCACCATGCTTTTACATGTTTCCTATTTAGTTAAAGACTAAATGGATTTATGAGTGGGACAGAGACTTCCAATATTTTTTTGTTTTTTTTAACTATATGTTTGTCTGTGTGTCTGTGAATGCACACATGAATGCAGGTGTTTTCAGAGGTCAGAAGAGGGCATCATATCCCCTGGAGCTGGAGTTAGAGGCAGTTGTGAGTTGCCTGACATGGGTGCTGGGCACTGTATTTGGGTCCCCTGCATAAATAGTACATGCTCTAACTACTGAGATACCTCTTCATGTTAAAATGGTGTTTTTGATACTATATGTATATTTTTGTGTGGGTATGTGCACATTATATGTGTGTACATGACAGCACATACTTGCTGGGTTCAGAGGTCAATATTGGTTATCCTTAATTACTCTTTACCTTTAAGAAGGGTCTTTCATTGAGTCTAGCTCACTGATTTGGCTAGGGTGACTGGCCAGTGAGCTTCAGGGATCTGTCTACTCCCCCCTCCCCACCCAGTGCCATGTTCAGTTTTGTGCAGTGTTGGAGATCAAGCCCAGGACTTCATGCATGACGGAACTCATGCATGAACTAGCACTCTGCCAGTTGTGCTACATCCCCAGGATTTCTAGCCATTATTTAAGGAAATACATTTTCAGTAATGTAATAAAAAAGGCTGTATGTTAATATGTTTAAGGTTTTTACTAATGCAAATGGTCATTTGATAGGTTTGAAGTAAATTAAACCTTTTTATTTTTCTGTACCAGAGGCCTCTTTATTAGCATCCACGACAAAGGGCACATTGCTTCAGTTCTTAACGCATGGCCAGAAGATGTTGTGAAGGTAAGTTATGGGTTACTGCACTGAGATAGTTTGCTATCTTTTCTGTCCCATGACAGATAGCATAGTCTCGATCTCATTGCTGTGAGCAACATTGTTAGTGACTGTCACCTAATTAATGTCTCTGAATTTCTAAAGCTAATTAATTTTATTATTAGGCTATTTAGATCCAATTTTCCTGTAATTTCTAAGTTCTTAGTGTTTCATTTCTTTATAAAAATCATTAAATATATATATATATATATATATATAATATATATGTGTGTATTGAACATGTAGGGCATACAATTTCTTTGAGCAAATTCTTTTATTGTGTTTTCTGTGTTTACTCCACCAAGTTCAAGGTAGGCAGAAGAAATCTATTAAATCATTCCCTATATCATTATGACCTTGAGGATCTGTGAGTTATTGAAATTTAAAGTAATAATTTTTGAGTGTGTGTGTGTGTGTGTGTGTGTGTGTGTGTGTGTGTGGTGAGTGTGGGTACGTTCGTTCCATAACTTTGGTCATGGGGTCTGAACGCTGGTCAGGTTTCCGGGGCAAGTGTTGGCCTGCTGAGACATTTCCCTGGCTTGATATTTACTGTAACCAGAAGTTTGGAGAGGGTTTTTAAGAATTGACAAGGAGAGTGGAGTTCTAACCAGTACTTTCTTGTCCTAACAGCCAGACATTAGACGGTAGCCCTGCTTCTTGCTCTTAATCAGCACTAAGCTGACCTCTACATGTATGACTTGGTTAATAGTCTACTTTATCTGTGGGACCGCAAAGCCCTGTGTCCCTTTAAAAGCTTAGGATAGTGTTTGGCACAGGGCACTAAATAAGTCAATGCTTGCTTGGAATAGCATACTGAAGAGTAAGATATGATCTCTACTGTGTAGTTGAACACACATGTAAGAGAGACAATTTACTAGATAAAGTGTAAAGTGCATGGTAGAATTGATGCTCTATTTGCTCATTCTCAAGGTATTTTATCACAGAATTCTTTTTGCCCTGTTAAGACTCTTTACTCTTGAAATATTTCCAATAAGGCATAAACTAAGCTAAGATATAAATATCTCAAAATTAAAAAAATGTTTGAATATATGATTATAATTTTGTAGATAAATGCATTCATAATTAGGTAACAGTACTAGATGGGAGAGGAGCCTAGAGAATAAAAGTTAAGGCTAACAACAACGAAATACTTTTTAAAAAAGCATTTAAATCTTCATATTTAAAACATACTTCATTTAACATAGACATGCTATCAATGAATGGCAATGTATACTATTTAAAATATTGAAATTGTTGAAAATTATACAGCTTCAGTGCTTTTAATTATATAAATTACTCAGATTACAGGTAATTTATATGATAAAGTTACTATCTTTATAGAGTACACATTAAAACATTGCTAAGTATAGGCAGGCCAGCTGGGTTCCCCGTGTTGAGAACTGCATTTATGAGAGTGTGTGTCTACAGCTATTCATACAAGTGCCTCTATCTATGACAGTACATTAAATAAAACAGTGTCTATTAAATACACAACAGAATTATTTGTACACTGAGAAATGTGTCATAGTGCTCAACAAAAGCATATATATATTACTGTAAATTAGAACTGCATTGAACTAATGGTGTGTGATTACCTTCTCTGTAAGAAGAGCATAAATATGTTGACTGGTGAAATTCAGGGGAAATTGTGACTTCTTGCAATTAGATAGGGAAAAGTTTTTGAAGGGAGTATTATGGAATATGCAAAAAAAGTCTCACCTCTCCTTTTTTTTTGTGGTTTTTCGAGACAAGGTTTCTCTGTGTAGCTTTGGAGCCTATCCTGGCACTCGCTCTGGAGACCAGGCTGGCCTTGAACTCACAGAGATCCGCCTGCCTCTGCCTCCTGAGTGCTGGGATTAAAGGCTTGAGCCAACAACACCCGGCTCACCTCTCTTTTAAAATGTCTTTAAAAACAATTTTCTAATACTTGTTTTTTACAGTACACAAAAATCTAAGGAAACAGGTCTCGGCAGTGCATTTTAAAGCGTGTCTGACATTAGGGTGGCGTGGAAAAAGTACAGTGCTGAGGGCAGACCCTGGTTCTGGTTCCTTGGGCCTGCCTAGGTGCCTTATCTAGGCATAGTCGTTTAGTTTTCTGACTTTCCATTTCATGATCTGTAAAGTGAGATGAGGAAAATGAGCATGCCCTAGGCCCCTATTAAAAACTATGACTTTCTGAGGATAGGAACGGTAGCCACATTTTTTTGGAATTTGAAAACAAGTATTGTGCTAAGTTCTTTACATATCATGATTTCATTTTATGTACCTGTGAATCTATCTAGTTTACCACTATTTATTGGCTGTTTACTGAGTGCTAAATGTTGTACCAGATGCTGAGATTACAGTGGTGAGCAGACAGAGTCATTCTGAAAAGCACATGTATCAGTTTATTTTTAAACTGAGAACAGAGGGCCTGGAATGAGGGCACAGCAGTTAAAAGCAGTAGCTGCCCTTCTCAAGCCCCCAGGTTGATTCCTAGCACCCACAAACTTCCAGTCCAAGGGAATCCAATGTCCTTTTTGCCTCTGTGAGATCAAGCATGCCTGTGATACACAGACATACAAGCAGGCAAAACACCCATACACATAAAATAAGTGAAAAAGTAAAAATGTAAGAAATAAAAGCTTAAGTTCATTGTTATTCTCTAGTTACTTTGAGTGCAGCATTTTAGAATTTCTAATAAATTAGGTTTGTTTTAACTTATATTGTGGCCATCTTCATAGAATGAAGACTGAATACATTAATTTTAATAATGATACTAAATTCTGTAAAGTAAGCCCTCTACATGAGTAACATATATGATTCATTATTATTCTAAGTATGTAGATAAGTTAGGCAAAATTTGTCAGTTTTAGGGAAAGGTTACCAGGTAATATTTTAGTAGACTGTACTGGGTATGCTCTGGAGATAACAGAACAGTGTCAGGCACTTCCAGGAGTAAGCGGTTAGAGCGTCTTGGAGCAGAGCTGTGCCTTCTGAGATACCTCATTATGGCCCAGGGGCATCCGCTGGTCTGATAGCTGCCCTCTGTCTTTTTGTTTGCAGTTTGAGCTCTAATTCCCATTTGTCCTCTTGATTGAAGAGTATGCTATTTGGGTTGTTTGAATTTCTATTTCACACCTTCTCTTCTTTTTTTTATAATAATGTAATTAATCATACATATAACTTTATACAATGCTCAATGTATATAGATAAAACCTATTTCTTCTCCCCATTCTTCCCTAGTGACTATGGTTAAACATTCAGTTTATGTGTATTTAATGTTTTCTTGTGGCTCAGTGCTACATTGTAGGGCATTCATTGCCTTTGGGATCAGAGAGCGGGAAAGAAGATGAACTTTTTGTCTTTCTTTCTTTCTTCTAGGCCGTTGTGGTGACTGACGGAGAGCGTATTCTAGGCCTGGGAGACCTTGGTTGTAATGGGATGGGCATCCCTGTGGGTAAACTGGCCCTGTACACAGCCTGTGGAGGGGTGAATCCACAGCAGTGCTTACCTGTCATTTTGGATGTGGGAACAGAAAATGAGGTAAACACTTTGAGTGTTTTAAAAAGTGGTGCCAAATTTTGCATTTTGAGATTGTGTAATAATTCTTGAACTTCATAAAATTCATTCATTTTTTTCTGTTACCCCACTCCCCTCAACTCTGCCCCCAACTTTTATAAGGAAATAGCCTAGTCTGTGCTTTTCTCATCTCTGTAATATGCTTTGTGGTTTATCTGCCTTAGTCGTCTCAAATGCTTTGATAAGTATTGATGCATTATTATTTGAAGCACATGAATTACTCGTAAGAGGTCATAATCTCTTCCTAATTTTCTTTACAGGAGCTAATTCCATTGGTCCTATTAAATTTAATCAGCTTGGACCTTACTATTCTAAAAGTTTGTATTGAGTCTGGGATAGATGATTTGGAGTTCAACTTTTCTTACTTCCACGTTAATATTTTAGAAGAATTCCATCCGTATTTTATCATCTCATGTTTTTATCATGTACAAACAAAATTATATTTAGCTTCTGTGCATGAACGCTTATTTAGCCTTTATCCAAGGAAATATTTTGATTTAAAATATGGCTTCTCTTATGTTTTCTTTTTCAATACTGATAGAAATGACTTAGTTATCAAAGCTAACCTGTTTAAAGATGCTATTTTAAAATTCTGTGTGTACATTGATACTAAGATTTTATTTTAATTTTCATATATTTTAAAGCAAGCTGAGATGATATAAGGAAGTCAAATAAAATAAAACTACAGGATCTATGATGTATCTTGAAAATTTTAGGCGTTATTGAAGAGGAATTAAAAACTGTGAAATAAGTGTATAATAATATGAACAGTTTTAAGCCTGGGCCTTTAAAATGATTTATTTATTTTATTCATTTGTATGAGTATTTTGTTTGCATGAATGTCTTTGTACCACATACATGCCTAGTACCCATGATGTTAGAAGTAGGTGTCAGATCCACTGGAATTGGAGTTAGAGATTGTTATGGGCCACCATGTGGGTACTGGGAACTAACTCAGGTCCTCTGCAAGAGAAGCCAGTGCTCTGAACCAAAGGACTGCTCTTCATATCCAGTCCCCATCTGGGCCTTTTTTTGCAAGGTTATCAGTATCGTGTGCACATAGAGGTACTTCATCACTGGGATCTACAGTAGAGATTCTTACATCGACAGATTGCATGAGTTATCAGAAATAAATGGTTTCATGAAAGTGGCTCTTAGTATTGTCAAGTTGACTGGAATTTTCACATTATCTGCTTTTAAAATGTATCACATTATATTGGAGAAATCTACTTGCTATCTAATTTTCAATGTTTACTTCCATATTTGTCCTTTGGTGTTAAAAGTGCTGTATTATTTTTGGCATGTGTATATGGATGTGATGTGCATGTGTGTATCTGTGTTTATGTGTGGGAGCATATGTGTGTAAGTACCCATTTATGTGTTTGGGAATGTGTGTGTGTAGTTGCCCATGTATGTGTATTGGGAGTACATGTGTGTAGGTGCCGTGTATGTGTGAGAGCACATGTGTAGGTGCCCATGTATGTGTGAGAGCATATGTGTAGGTGCCCGTGTATGTGTATGAGTACATGTGTGTAGGTGCCGTGTATGTGTGAGAGCACATGTGTGTAGGTGCCCGTGTATGTGTGAGCATATGTGTAGGTGCCCGTGTATGTGTATGAGTACATGTGTGTAGGTGCCCGTGTATGTGTATGAGTACATGTGTGTAGGTGCCCGTGTATGTGTATGAGTACATGTGTGTAGGTGCCCGTGTATGTGTATGAGTACATGTGTGTAGGTGCCCGTGTATGTGTATGAGTACATGTGTGTAGGTGCCCGTGTATGTGTATGAGTACATGTGTGTAGGTGCCCGTGTATGTGTGTGGATGTGGAAGTCAGAGGTTGAATTGGATGTCTAGTCACAGTAAGGTTTTCATAATGCAAAGCATTCATGTCATTTCCTTCTGTGATGGCCTATAAACTAGAACAATCTGCAGTTCCTTTCTTTTTCTCTTGTTTGTTTAGGTGCGAATACAAAATAATAGGTTCCACCACTATGTCTTCACACACATCTGACATTATAATGACTCTCATTTGTTCCCCTCCACCACTGACCTCCACATAGCCCTGCTCTCCTCGGGCTGGTTCCTCTTTAAGTTGCATTTTGTACATATTAATTTTTGGCACTCAAATCTCTAAAAATGCACTACTTTTTCAAGTATTAATTTCTTAGTTAAGTTTTATGATAAATAGAACAAACTTTCTGACAAATATATTATTATAATTGAAGAATTATTTAGTATTCTAATTTATTTCAAAAACTGTCATTTTCATAAATCTTAAACTATTATACTTATTTTTCTATTTTTCGCGTGTGTGTGCATGTGTGTGTGTTTGTGTGTGTGCGTGTATGCACGCAAGAAAGAGAGAGGACAGCCTGTGGGAGTTGGCTCTTTCTATCTACCCTGTGAATTCTGGGAATTGAAGTCTGGACATCTGGCTTAGTGGAAAATGCCATTACCCGCTGAGCTGCCTCAATTATACTTCTTTATGTTATGTGCTTCAATTATCAGTGTGGGAAAGGATAGGAGAAAAGCGAAAGGACACATTTTTCCTCAATTGTGTTTTTCTTTCTTTTTTCCTCTAACTCCATTTTTAAGGGCTAAATATATTCCAGACTTGGAGAAAGTATTTTAATATTGGCAGCCATTAGTAGCACATTGGCAGTTTAACCTTGGCTGCCCAGAAGCCTGCCAGTGGGTTGTTAAAGAGTTTTTATGCCTTAAGGAACAGCTGGGCTTTACAGCAGTACCGGGTTTCAGGTTTTATATTTTACATTTATGTGGTTTAACATGTTAGCTTACAGTGAGCAAAAAACCTTAACTACTTGGTAAGCAGTACATTGTAGGTAAGATGTATTGGTCAAACCAAAGGAATTTCACAACGAGAGAGTGCTATTAATAATTATACCAGGACAACAGGTGTGCGCTTAACTGTGGTTTCCATTTAAGTAAACCCTGCTTTAGAAGATTCAAGTAGTTGAACCATCTTGTCATCACCACACCTGAAAGAATGCATTTTTCTGTAACAAAGTGTCTCCAAAGTCATTATTGTTTTATTAGTGCTTATGACCCTGTAAACTGTAATTTGCTCAGGATGGATAGGAAAGCTTGGGTGGCTAGGACAATTCTCCATCTAAATTCTCATTTATAAATTATTTACATCACACACACACACACACACACACACACACACACACACACACACACACACACACACACACAGAGGATTGCCCTCTCAGACTCTATAAACTTTTTATCCCAGTATCAGGGATGGGTCTGAAGTTAGGGTCCTCTCATCCAGACCAGTTCTAGATGAGGCTTGGGGTTTGCATTTTAACTGTGGCTCTTTTCATGTGTTCTTACATCAGACTTAAGTGATGAGTTAGGAACAGATTAATGACCAACATTCCTGAGCAAATTTGAGGAGTCCCATGGTTCTAGAAGTCCCATAGCCAGTAAAGCCTCCCTGGATACCAAGCCACCTGTGTATGGGCCAGTGTTGTTTCCTCAGAGTGGGTTTCTGTAGGTCATTGTTTTGGGGCTTTTGTCTTTGCCCTCCTGTGAGTTCTTGAATCTGTCCTCTGAGATATTTCTCCTTTTTCCTAAGAAAAGCATTTAGAATTTTTTTTAAAGCAGTGATTTATAGTTTTCAGTGTTCAAGTCTTACATATATGCTGATAAATATTTCCCTGTGAATTTTGTGGTGTGGATTACTGTTATAAAATAGAGTTATATTTTATTTTTTTTAACTTTCCACTGCAAATATGACGAGATACATTTGTTTCTGTATATTTTTCTTACATTCTATGGCTATATAAGATAATATACATTTATGGGTTTTGTAGATTACTGCTATTTTCTATTTACATAATTATGTGTACACAAATACAAAGTGTTAGTTCTTCTCTTTCCAGTCTGTATGCTTGTCTTTTTCTTGCATTATTGTAATGGCTAGCATCTCTAGTGTAGTGATGAAGAAAAGTGATAAGGACAGATATTCTTGCATTGTTCTGAATCTGAAAATAGTTAGCTATGTTTTTTCATAGATATTCTTAATTTACTGAGAATCTTTGTTACTAATAGGCATGTTTTACACTATATTTTATTTCAATTTAACAGTTGATTTATTAAAATGTTAAGGATTATTTATGTCAATACTTGAACAGGGTAATGCTGTATCAGGTCTGTCAGTTTAAGAAACAGAAAACTATAATGTTTAAAAAGCTTAAGAAAAACTTGGTCAAGCCTAAAAATATTCTCTCTTAAGTCAGTCAGTAGTCATATAACAAGTATACCCAAAATGTTTGATGATTTCAATTTTTGGAAATGGAAATGCATGAAAATAATTGTTATCTTTCTACTTATAAGCTGTTGTAAATCTTTAAAACTCAAATTATTTCTTTGTGTGATTAATTTCACCTATAAAATCTGAATGGAGCTTTTCTAATGAGCATCACTAGCATGCTTTAATTACTTTTCTTTTCTCCAGACTAACCGAGTGTTTTAACAAGTAATCATTATTTTTCTTATTTTGGATATGGACAGTATGGCAGTGAAGCATTAAGTAAGTAGTGACTGTGGGCTAATTGTGAGCCAGTATGCCAAGTTTTATTTTTGTTTCTGTCTCTTATGGAGATAATGAAACAAGCTAAGCAAAAGCAAATGACTTTCTCATTGCTAATTCTTTTTATGGCAACCGTTTCCTTAACACTAGGAGTTGCTTCAAGATCCATTATACATTGGGCTGCGACAGAGGAGAGTGAGAGGTCCTGAATATGACAAGTTTTTGGATGAATTCATGGAGGCAGTTTCTTCCAAGTATGTACAATTTTTATTTTATTTGAATTGAATTTCAAAAGTCTGAAACCAAGCTACATAACTATTAAAATCTACCAAGTTTGATTTAGCATGGTTTAATAGTTAGATTTGATATGAATGCAAGAAAACTATCCCCCAGACCCTTTATAACTTTTCTTGGCCAAATGGTAGCATCAGGTATCTGTCCCCCAAAGCTATCTCTGTTCCTTTCCCCAATGAAGCCTTGTCTTTAAAGAATCATTGTTGCTATGGAAATACATGATGGTCTCTAGCCATACTACACTGAACCCACAGATGGCATCTGAAATGCATGCTGATGGGAAATAGGGAACTGGCCATTGACAGTAAATATAAAAAGGAAGCCTTTTCCTTTTTTACATTTTTGGCAGTCTACACTTCTTTCTGGCTACTGGTAAAAATCTGCTCTTCATTCAGGTTTGTGGCTGACACTGGACCCTTTTGTGGTAGGGGAAGGAAGAGGTGGGACTGAGTGTGAGCTATATAGCCCCAGAGGCTGTAATAGAGGGAGAACCAGGCTGTCCATCATAGTTTGTGCATCTCTGCTTAAATCTATAGGATTTGATTAAATGTACTACTGTATTGTCATCTAATGTAGTTAGTATTTGATTGCGGGCCTGTGGCACTCTAAAACTTTCCAGCTTTTTCCTTGAGAAAGAGATTCTGTGATAATTTTAATAATATACCCAGAGGGAATTTTGTCATGCCAGCCACCAGTCATTCAGTTTGTTAGTGTGCAGCCATAAAACCATTATTGTTTAAAAATAATTTGTACTTTGGTGGGTTTTTTTTTTGTAAATAACTTTATCATTGGGATCTCATGTAACTAGAGTTGTCCTTTTGTTTCTTATAAAGTTATAAACACAGAAGAAAACCCTTTGTTTCATCAGTCTGCACAGTATTTAAATACTTTGAATTGTTCATTCTGGGATTTAATGCAGAGTATACTTTTAAATCAGTATGGACTACTTTAAAATGGACATGTTTTAGTCTCACGTTTTTAAATGATCACAAAATGCTGGATTACTTGGAAGCATCACTGTTTATTTACTTGACCTTTTCAGATGGACATTGAACTTATTTTAAAAGGTTATTGGGGCTGGAGAGGTAACTTGGCAGTTAAGAACATTTATTCGCACTTACTCATTAAATTATTTTGTATTTTAAAAGAGCAAAACCCTACCATTTTCCCATTGACAGTTTTCTTTAGAGCTTGACATTTTGAAAATGCAGGCAATATTATACTCTATAGAATGGCATTGAATCCATAGTCCAAAATAGTGAGGGAAGAATGTTCTACACAAGACATAGGTATAAGAGACTAAATATCTCAGCTGTATCAAACTATATAGTTGACACAGGGTTAAAAAAAAAAAGAGCACTTATTCCTCTTCCAGAAGACTGAGTTCTATTCTCAGAACCCACTCTGGTTGCCTTATTTCTATTATTTCAACTTCAGGGGTCCAACATCCTCTTCTGGCTTCCACAGGCTCCTGTGTTCATGTGGCACACATACACACAGATGCATACGCATACAAGCAAATAAAAAAGGAGTCAACCCTTAAAAAAAACATGTTTGGTTAATTTGATATATATATATATATATATATATATATACATTTGTTATATATATATAATTTGTTATATATATACATACATTAAGCTATATTTAGACATAGAAACAGTTGAAAAACTTAAGATCAAAACTACGTAATGTCATTCATTTCTATTTATTTGTTCACATGTAATTTTAAATGTTTTATCCTAAAATCTTATATAAGGTTGTGATTATCAACTTTCTAAATAACAGCATAACTGAGAGATTGTTTAGGTAGTGCCATGAAGCCACCTAAAAGAAAAGGAAATGAAACTCACAACATATTTTGATTTTCTCTCTGTTTGTGAATTTAAAATCTACCTAAATAGGACAAGCTCATTATATTTATAGGGAATTTATTAAGCAGGTTGTAAGCTCCTAAATGATGATGCATAAAGAAAACCTGTATGGAGACAATGGAAAGCTCTCTGGAGAAACTGAGATAGGTACCAAGCTGGAATGATCTTTTTCAGTGCAGGGTCAGGAAAAAAGCTTGTATTTTTAGTATTAAATTCGGGGATGTTGCTGGATGTTTTCCGTCTTGCCTATCAGTTCCTGTAGCTGCTTATAAAATAATACTCTAAGGCTTAATATTAATTATAATTATTTGTTCAATGACTCAGACTTATTACTCTCTAGCTGTTTATTATAAATTAACCCATATTTACTAATCTGTATGTCACCACATGGCTGTAGCTTACCGGTAATATTCTGACATCTTACTTCTGCAGTGGCTCCATGGCGTCTCCCTGACTCTGCCTTCTTTCTCTTCAAATCCTTGTTTGGATTTCCTGTCTGGTTCTATTCTGTCTGACCATTGGCCAAAAAGGCTGTATTCATTGGCCAATAAAAGCAACACATATCGAAGCATACATAGGACATCCCACATCAGGGGGATTATGGTGCTGCAGAGATGGTTCAGTGGTTAAGAGCACTGGCTGCACTTCCAAAGGACCCAGGTTCAATTTCCAGCACCCAGTGTCAGCTCAAAACTGTAACTCTAGTTCCATGAGATCTGACACCCTCAGACATACATACGTACATACAGGCAGAACACTAATGTACATAAAATAAAATCATTTTAAAATTTCAGGGGATTACTTAAGACATATGAAAAGGGATTGATTGATGGGCTCAACAGTAATTTTTAATGTAGAAAACATCTATAGTCAGGAATGCTTGCTCATGCCTACAATCCTAGGAATTTGGAAACTGAAGCAGGAGGATTGCTGTGAGTTCCAATTTGGCCTGCACTATATAATGAGACTGCTCAAAAACAAAAATAGGAAAAAGGAGAATATATTTGGTGGAAGTCAGGAGTTGTACTTCTGGGTCCTTCCCAGAGAAAAGTAACAGAGACTTAAAAAATATCGTTTTGATATTGTCCCTTCAGAAGCTGTCTAGAAGTGAAACCTAGCATTACCCAATTAGGGCAATGGAGTTACCAGACGCCAGACTATGATGGAATGTATTGAGTACTTTGGGGACCAGTGCTTGTAGGAGGAAGAAGGGAGAAATAGATGTGAACCAAGGGAGAAGCTGTACTGCAGCATGGACCCTACACTCCTGGGGTAGGAGCATTTGAGACCACACTATATGCTGCTGAGATTGTTAGCAGCCACTAGCTTTGCCATGCCCCCACCCCCACCAAAACCGTTCTGGCTTCTTAACCTACTATGTTGGCAGTGATGGGGTGGGTGGAGTGACATTAAATCATCTTTCTTTGTTTGCTCTATGGTAGCTCTTACCATATAGGTCAAGGCCTTGCTGTGGATATTATGACGCACTTCTGAAATATGAAATCAGAATGTCTCAATGAGAAATCCTTCACAGGATAGATTTGTGGTCTTGTTCCAACTTTTCTGAGCACCATGTTGGGGCTGCATTATTACTGCCCTTCATATTGCTTCTAAGAAGGGGAGGGAGTGGGAGTGTCTGGTTGATGTTTCAGGTCTCCAGATGTCATTGTAGACTCTGGTCAGAGTCCTCAAAGTATTTGAGCATTTCTCCCCAGATGCTGATGAAGCATCGTTGATCCCTCTAAAGATCTAGGGACGGCTATGTATTCTTGCCAAAGTATTGAGAAGTCCTGCGTTTTGGAAACTAGGCCTCTTCTCCCCTGACTTCTGGGTAAAAGATTAGCTCAGGTTTGGAAATTGCACAAGCAATTGTAACTTTATTGCGTTAAGTGCTTTCAATTGTGTAGCTATTTGTCTTTGATTTCTTTTGGTGGCAAACACTGAGTGGCAGACTCTAGGAAAGCTGTAGCTATTAGCTCTCATAAGTGTGCATCATTCTCACATACACACTCTTGTTGCCTCCCTGAATGACAGCTGCACCCATCAGACTTCCTCCTGGGGTCCTGTCACCCTCTCACTGCTTATCAGTAAGCCCAGTTATGTATCACTTTGTTTTCTGTCCATTCTGGCCTCCTGAGAGCCAGGAATAAGCTTTTCACTAATTTGGGGACTTCTCATCAGCATGTTCCATGTGGCTTTGGTACTTGGTATGGTTTTCTTTTTTGTCATTATTATAGAACATAGTCAGCTAATGGGTTTTTTTTGTTTGTTTGTTTTGGGTTTTTTTGTATATAGTTTGTACATTCCAGAATGTCCTTCTCTAAGCCTAGTAATCCCCATGCGTGGCAATGTTTCTGGCATCTCAGCCACATTTGGTATGAGCCATTGGTTTGGGTAGGCATCTAGCAATCATCTTAATAGTTACTTTGTGCTGTATCTAGACATTCTTGCTGGTTGTTACATTCTGCTTCTCAGGAAAGTGTCTGAAATCACTGCCTAACATTAGGGTCCAGGATCTTCTCAAACACCCTCAGAATTAAACTCAGTTGTATTATTCCTGACTAATAAAAGCTATCTAAATCTGTTCCTCTGGGATATAGTTGTTCTCTTCCTTTCTGAGTCCCAGCATGCCCTGCCTGGCTTCTGGTATGATATGATGCTCTTACAAGCCCAAAAGGGGTCTAGAAGAGATTCAGGCATTGACAGGGCTTACAGAGGTGCATGCTGTCCCCTGGAGGGAAAGTCTCTGTCCTCAGCAACAGTGAGAAGAGAAAAGAAGACTGTTCTTGTGAGGTCATAAAATGGTGTTGACTCTGAAGAGTCAAGAGTTAGAGAGATCAAGCCAGACGTCCCTCCCCACGCAGTATGAGCCCATTCACTCTGCTAAGACTAATACAGCACATTGGCCTACATGGGAATCTTGGATGCTCACTGCTAGCTAAGTGCCCTGTTGTTATCATCATGGTCTTCTCCTCAGGAACCACAGAATCTGAAAGTCTCTTTGTATATGCAGTGGACAGTTATTGGCCCTCAAGTCTTGTATTCTTTTTCTATTGTCCTTTTAGTGTCATTTCTCAAAAACTCTT